CCTTTTCTTGTCGTCCTCTTGTCCTCCTCGCCTCCTCCTCTTGTCCTCCTCGTCCTTTGGCCGCGCTGGCGAACCCTGTGTCTTCCTCCTGCTTCTAGTGGCCACGTTTTCGAGCCCTGTGGGTCCTCGGTGTTCCCCGCTGTCCTCGTGCCACGGTCGCAATCCAGGTCTGCCTGTCCTGCTTGTGCACGTTGTGGGCCCGCTTATCACCGTCTTACCCGGGGCTTGCCCCCTGCTTGGCCACGCCGTTTTTCCTATCTCCACCGCCTTGTCTGGGTATGTTTTCATGTGGCTATGAATGCAATAGTGACACAGCGATCGAAATGCGATATCACCATCGGATCTTCTCACGACAAATATCCGGTATCCCATCGTTCTGCGCATGTGACACAGGCATCCGGAACTGGTGTTTTCCAGCATTTATTGTTTAGGTACAGTTCCCAAAGTAAACTTGCACTCATTTCCACCAACGTTGGAATTTTCGGAGTTGACGCCGACGCCGACAAAAATGCTGACGCTGTTCACGAAAGCTAGCCTTAGCTAGCTGGAGTTGCTCTTGCTTTAGCAAGTTAAGTGACGGGGTGGACGCACCTCAGAAACCTCAAATAATTGATTAAATCAATCTTATGGACCCCCCCCCCCCGCGGTTCGACTCCCCCCCTGCGCGCGGTGAGCGGGACCACCAAGCAGCTGCAGCACACCAAGCATCTGCAGCGCCCAGCGCAGCAGCGGCAGCAGCAGCAGCAGCACCAGCAGCAGCAGCAGACCACCCAGCGGCGGCAGCAGCAGCAGCAGCATACCCAACGCCGCGGCAGCAGCAGCCGCAGCAGACCACCCAGCGCCAGCAGCAGCAGCAGCAGCAGACGACCCGGCGCCTGCAGAGCACCCAGCGCAGCAGCGCCCAGCGCAGCAGCGGCAGCAGCAGCACCAGCAGCAGCAGCAGCACCAGCAGCAGCACCAGCAGCAGACCACCGGAAGCCCGGCTAGCTTTCGTTCACCCCCTCTGGCCTCAAGTTGGGCTCTATGCTGGTGTAACTATATAAATGACACACGTTTGTTAATTAGTTGGATTGCTTGTGGCTTTCTTGCGTGCGGACCCCGAGGTGGACTGGCCGTCCATGTCTACCTGAAGCCGCTGCCAGACACCACAGCCCCAAAGGTGATGAAAGCCATCGACAAGATGATCGTGATGGGCAGCCAGATGGACGGACACTTGTTGAAGGCTGCGGCTGAAGCGCACCACAAGGCCATTGGCAGCATCGATGCCACGGGAGTGACGTCTGCTGCTGACTATGAGGCAGTGAACGCAGCTATTGGACGCATTGTCGCATCGGTGCCAAAAGCGACAGTGATGGATGTGTACAACTCGATGGCCGCAGTGGTGGATGGAACCGTCCCCAACAACATGTTCTCCAAGGTGAACCCTCTCGATGCAGTTGCCGCTGCAAAGGGCTTCTACACCTTCAAGGATGTGGTGGAAGCGTCTCAGCGCTGATGACAGTTTTTGGTAGCCGAACCATGCCGTGGAACTGTGGGAGCCCTTTTGATGGCTCGAATCCACTAATTATTTGTTTACAACTTTGTTTTTGAACCCTACAACCTGCACAGTGCAGCAAAGAGGGGAGGAGTCTTTAGCCGCTAGCCGTTCACAAGGTTGTGCGTTGAAACAGATTGGTGTACCTTCAGGTCAATAGTCACTGCTAGCGGAATGTGTTCAGAGGTACTTTTTAAGAATATAGAGAGAAATAAGATGAAATAAGATCATTAGTCACAGCTATCGAGATGCCATTTTAGACCATTTTGACTTGAGAAGTTTCTGCAGTTTTGAGCATCCAGGACTAGTTAAAGGCAAACAGGTCAAGAGGAAGCATGTATTTCAGTAAGGTCGTTAAGTGGGGCGGTTCAGCAGCCTGTGTTCGCTGAGTTGTCACTGCGGCGGATATTTTAGGCTTAACTTGCAGTTGCACTCCCTACTCACCTTGGAATCATGGTGCGTTCTTCGTGGAAAGTCTTGAGCGTGGCTGCCGCGTTGGTAACTTTGTACAACGTTTGCAACAGCTGGAGTTTTGTGCCTGCCATTGAGAAAACATGCGCTTGTGGCAGCTCCGTCCGCAGCCGGTATGATGATGGCTCCAGCCGCCTTTGCCGATGAGATTGGTGATGCTGCCAAGAAGCTGGGCATTTTCTTGCAGGCCCCCGGCAAGTTCCAACCACTTGAGGCTCTCAAGGCAATTGACAAGATGATTGAGATGGGAGCAGCTGCAGACCCCAAGCTCTTGAAGGCAGCGGCGGAGGCCCATCATAAGGCCATCGGAAGCATCTCAGGACCCAACGGTGTGACTTCCCGGGCGGATTGGGATGCGGTGAACGCGGCTCTGAGGGCTTTCTGGAGTTCAAAGACGTGGTGGAGAAGAAGCTTTTGATTGCTTCATTGCTTCAGGTGTAGTTTTCATGTCCCCCAAATGCGGTTGCGTCGTAGTATTGCCCACTGGGGATGATACATTACAATACAATTCTTTCTCTCAAAGTCCCTCAAGCAAGTCAGGAACCAAGTGGCCGCAGCTGGTGCTCCTGCCACCGTGCCCACTGAGGACAAGATTGGCGTCGCTGCAAAGGCCTTGTCAGATGCATCCTACCCCTTCTTGAAAGAGGTGCAGGGCTACTAAGAATCATTTGAGGACGGTTGCGCTTGATCAATATTTGTGGAAAATCGTTGTTGAATGGCGGTGCCATCTCTATTCCCCATTGTTTATGTATAAAAGACACAAGTTTGTTGATTGTTGGATTGCTTGTGGCTTTCTTGTGTGCAGACCCCCGATGGGCAGCCAGATGGACGGAAACAGACCATTGTCAGTGGATGCCTCAACAGGAGTGCTGACAATCTCAGTAGGAAAGTGATCCTTGGGAGGAACCAAAGGCAATTCATTCAATCCTTTGCATCTGCGGTATTCACTTTGAGCAGGCTTGACAGGAGCCCACCTCAACCATAGTGTTAGTGTCTCCATGCTCGTCAACAAAGGGGATTGCAATCATGTCTGCGTCGCCAACTTTGGCGCCACGAACAAAGTAGTCAACTCCACCACGAACATGTCGTTGTCGCAACAAGCAAGGGAATTGCAAGACACCGTCAACGGCCTTCACAACCTGGTCATGAGTCCACGCTTTGGGAGCACCTTGCAAGATCCACTGGCGAACGACGGCAGTCGAAGCATCACGCTGCTTTCTCAAGCCCAACTGTCTGTGCCCAACCAAGATGCCATAGGGAGGCTTCATTTTGGAGCAACGTTTCAAGTAGGTGAGAGAGTCCTCATCCTCGGCCTGGTCCTGCCAATCTACTTGCATTGGTGGTACAGAAGCATCACGAGACGGATCAAAAAAGAACTCGTCACCACTTGCAGCCATGACAGCGACTTTCTCTGAGTCAAGAACGCGCACATAGCCAAACAACTTGCAAAAAAGGGTCTCCAGGTGCTTTCTCTTCAATCCACCCCCAAGAGTCCTGCACATTGAAAGAACGCTTCTTCATCCAAGCCGTGAGACACTTGTGAGGTTGAGAGCGAGCAGCGTCCCACAAAGCCTTGGTGCAGTATCGCTGATGCAACTTGGCGTACAACACGACCGTCTTGACCTCAGCAACTTTGGGCAACGGCTTAACCACCACAGCTGGACCAGGGGCAGTCAAGCCAGAAGTGCACACACGAGTGAAATTGGCCATCTTGAAAGCGACTCGGTGTCCATAGGCTCCCGGGCACCGTTCGGCTTTCTCCTCCTTGCCAGGCACAATGATCAACACAGCATGGACCCGATTGGACCCCCGAAGGAGAGCCGTCAGCGTGTCGATCTGATCACTATTGCAAAGGATGACAGCCTTGAACTCCCCATCTTGCTGCAGTTTCTGCAGCTCATTTGGGACTTTGTCAAAAGCAACCACTGGAGCATTCCAGTCACAATCCCGAAGCTTCCATTCATCACCTTCCTCAAACTTCGGCTTGCCTTTGCGAGCCACAGTAATCCAAGGACCATCAGCTGAAGTCGAACTCTTGCCTTTACCTTCATGAGAGACAGTTGAAGCGCACCACAAGGCCATTGGCAGCATCGATGCCAAAGGAGTGCCGTCTATTGGACGCATTGTCGCATCCGTGCCAAAAGCGACCGTGATGGATGTGTGCAACTCGATGGCCGCAGTGGTGGATGGAATCGTCAGTTGCCGCTGCGAAGGGTTTCTACACCTGGACCTTCAAGGATGTGGTGGAAGCTTCTCAGCGCTGATGACAGTTTTTGGTAGCGGTACCACGCCGCAGAACTGTGGGAGCCCTTTTGATGGCTCGAACCCACTATATATTTTCTTTACAGCTTTGTTTTTGAACCCTACAGCCTGCACAGTGCAGGAGAGAGGGGAGGAGTCTTTAGCCGCTAAGCGTTCACAGTTGTGCCTTGAAACAGTTTGCTGTGGCTGCAGATCATTAGTCACTGCTAGCGAAATGAAGCTGTTCAGAGCTACTATTTGAAGACGAGTGATCTGGGTGTTTGTCTCGGGAAATCCTTGGGTGGACAAACTTGCTTAGGTTCTTTTTCTTCCCTTCATGCGGAGCAAAAAGATAACTCCTGTCGACCCGCAGTTCCCTGTGGCTCTTTTATGCCCGATCTCCTGTGAGACAGCTTTCCGACTGCGGCTGCAAGCAGGCGCATGACATCATTCACGATATATGCCATATCTTGACAAACGAACTGAGTTGGCGACCTTTGGCTGTATTTGCCCAAACGACCAACAGATTCAATGGCCATCAATGAACCGGTTTACCCATCCCGAGGTTACCGTGAACAGTGGGCGACGGGTGGGCGCAGAGCCGAGAAACGGCGCAGAGCTGAGGCGCACAGAAGCTGTTACCCGGATGTTTCGAAGTGGCAGTGAGTCTGCCCACTCTTCTGATTGTGAAGAAACAGACACTGCTAAAACCTGTTGGATCTTCACATCTTTCCACAATTTTTGGATCTTTCCATTCCTTGCCAAGGTTGATTTTTGGACGCGGACTCAGGCCCAGACAAGCTGTTCGAACAGGCCGAACTGAGCGACGGTAAGAACAATTATGACACACTGAAAATTGATATTGCAGGTCTTGAGGACAAGCACAAATCGAGAAGTGTACCAACAGCCGTTTTAGCATCGAGAAAAGATCGAGCGATCAGTCGAGCAGGTTATGAGCCCAACGCAGGTGTAAGACCTCGCCCAGAGCGAGGCCGCCCCTCGAAAGTGCCGCCATGTCCATGCGGAGGCGAAGGCGGCAGCAACCCGGCGAGGACGACGCCGTGGAGGGCGAGATCCTGGCTGATGGAGAACGTGAAGAAAATGAAGGACATGAGCAGCTGGCTTTAGAGGATGGAGATCAAGGTGAACTACAAGGTCCGGTGGGAAGACCGACGAGTCTGGGTCCGGTGGCACCTTTGTTCTCCCCTGAGCAGCTTCGAGACCTCCGAGAAGTTCAGAGCCAAGCACCCCATCTGTACGCCAAGGTGCCTCGAGAGAGCGTGTGGCGACCTGGAGGAGAACGACATGATCCTCGAGGACCAACTCAGCAACAGAGTACTACGACGGGCACTCCATCTCCGCTTCCTGGCCCAGGGCATGAGTCCGGGGAACCTCGAAGAGGCCGTTCACCGGAACAGCAACTCCCTGAAGTCAAAGAGCCGGAGGAGAGTGATGGAGATCGAGCAGGTACCAGATCAACTTGGTGTTCAAGTACGAGGTGATGGACCTGGACATCGAGATCGCTTGGCACTCAAGGGATATGGAAAGGGTGGACCACCAGGGTATGTGATGCCTCATGATGAAGGAAGGAGAAATCTACTACCTCCTGGAGGACCACATCTACAAGGTCAAGGTTTGGGTATGCCGTACCAACATCAAGGGGGTTGGCAACATGGGCACCACTACGGGGCAGGCCCACCTAATCCACAAGAGATGATGACCATGCTTGCGATGCTTCGACAAGAAAACCAACAGCTTCGGGTGGAGCAGACTGAAATGATGGATGCCATGAAGTTCCAACGAGCGAGCCTGGAAGCTAAGGTGTACGACCTTCAGCAGGAGCTGGAGCAGCAGATGTTTCGCACGCCGGAGAGTGGAGACACTGTGAAGCGCCATCTCGAGATGACAGCAGGTGAACAGGAGAAGGAGATCGACCTGGAGAAGGAAAGAAAGCGCCTCTACGAGCTGACGCCAATGCAGCAGTTCGAACAGCTTCAATCCCTCATGGGCACTCCTGCACCTGGCAAGCATGGAGGTCGAGGACATGGACAATGAGAACGCTCAAGGTCAGTGCAAGGGCCGAGAGCATCAAGTCCTGGTGAGGAGCAATCCGAGAGCCAAGGCCTATGAAGAGGAGCTTGGACAGGGCAATGGAAAGGGGGTGGGTCAATCTCGGAGGAGATCTACGACAACGCAGCCCATTCAGCCTGAGGCCTCAGGAAGTCAAGAAGGGGTCAAGGGTGAGAAGATGATGGAGGTCATGGCCAAGCTGGTCAACCACCTTGTGGAAAAGGAGAGCCGAGACGGCGCGCCAGAGTCGGTGAAGCCTGGAACAGTGACACTTCCTACGCTTCCTGAACCAACAGATTCGGCGCAAACTGACCTGGCTGATTGGCTTACGTTGATTGAGCCGGCGATGACGGATTTGAGCGACTCCTCAGGGCAGTGGTGGGAACTGGTTGTTAGTGAAGCACGAAAATGGAATAGCCATTACATCCATCTTCGACCACTTCAACGAGCAAACTGCATCATCGAGCCCTCCCTGGAGTTGCAGAAACCCAAATGGGTGCGCGTGGAGAAGCATGCCATCAGCATGATGCTTGCAGCTGTGCCGACAAGTGTGAAGGAGGAATTGGTGGCTACTAGGGCACTTTCTCCACTCAGGCTGGTCAGCAAGCTCATGGTCTTGTGTCAACCAGGTGGGACGCATGAACGTTCCATCATCTTGAGACAACTTGAAGAGCCGTCGGAGACGACATCACCAGCTGAAGCGTGCACTGGATTGCGGAAGTGGATGCGCTGGCTTCGACGTGCCTCGGACATTGGTTTGAATCTTCCTGACTCAACGATCCTCATGAAAGGCATTACGAGATTGAGCCAGAAGGTGTTGGCCCAGCAGCCTGACTTGCAATTCAGGTGTTCTCTTGTGAGGAATACGTTGCAGTTAGACGCGATCCCGACGGAGGAGACAGTCAAGACGTATGCTGAGCATTTACTGTACTTGCAGAACTTGAACAACTCATGCATCGAGTCAGGCCAAAGACTGGTGGCGTTCCAAGAGCTGGCAATCCAGGAGGAGCTCCACAGGTGAAGGCGGCCTTTGTCGATGAGAAGAAGGGAGATGGAAGCCCAGAAGGCAAGAGTCCTGGCATCTGCAAATACTTTCGGACTGATGCAGGATGTCGGAGAGGAGCTGCCTGCCGATGGCTGCGCCAAGCTGAACCTAGAGAAAAGAGGTGCTATGTCTGTGGAGCTACCAGCCACTATGCTAAGGATTGTGCTCGAAAGGAGTTGAACAAGTCTGGAAAGCGTCCCGATCCGAAGCCGAAGATCCAGAAGGTGAAGGATGTGGGAGGAGCTTCTTCGTCAGCGCCTTCGGAGACATCGTCCTCAGTGTTCCCGAACCCAGGATCACCGCCTTCGACTTGTGGGTCAGATTCTTCTGGATGGAGGCAACCAGGATGCTTTGAAGCAGGTGTTGGATGAAGCACAACAAATGCTGAGGGGCATGTCGATCCAAGGGGAGAAATCCAAGGAGGCGGACCTAGTGGAGGCCCTGAAGAAGATTAAGGACAAGCCTGCAACCCCAACAATGAAGGCCGTGTCGGTTGCTAGAGTTCAGGCAGGAAGCAATGGACTTCTGGACACGGGAGCGACTCACGCACTACAACCTAGACGACCCGGAGAGAACCTGGAGAGATATAGGCAGGTTCAAGTGTCTTTGGCTGCGGGAGGACGGCTCACGTTGCGGATGACGGAAGGGCAGGTGTTGGTTTATGTGGATGAGCGAGTTGAGCCCATAGTCCCAGTTGGCCGACTTTTCAAGGACCTTGGCTGCAACCTGGAATGGGAAGGAGACCATTGTCGGCTGCTGCATCCATGGAGGGGCCTCATCGATGTGGATCTTGTTGAGGGCTGTCCCATGGTAGCATACACAGAAGCGCTGGCACTCATTAGCTTGAAGAGTCCAACTCAAGGATGGCGTTGAGGTGTCATGTTTTTGCAGATGAAGGGATTCACGCAAACTGGCTTGATCAGGTGGTTCGGGATTTTCCAGTGTTCCAGAACATGCCGCAGAGGATCAGAGACAAGCTGGTGGACACTCCGGCGAGGGATCTTAGTGGCCTTCAAGTCAACCGCAGGATTCGTCGGAGGTGGGAGAGAGAAGGAGTCACGGTGCATCTCTATGCAGGACCGAAAGAAGGGTACTACCTGCAGAGGGCAGTGAAGGAAATGGGAGGAGATCCAACTCGCATCTTTGAGGTGGACATTGTCAGGGACAAGTCACGCGACATGATGGCTGATGATGGCATGTTCGCGATCCTCTTGAGGATGTGCGTGGACGGATGGGTAGATGGAATCTTGGGAGGCCCCAATTGCCGAACAAGGTCGACCTCGAGACACCAGCCACACGAGAGAATGCCTGGGCCATCGAGGACAACCACACATCCATGCAAGCTTCCGCACAACTGCGAGGTTGAAGCTGCTAAGTGCTACAGGTTTGCTTTCTTCTTGAGCAACCTGCAGAACCTCCGCAAGAGCCCACATGTGCTTCGTTTTGGAGGTCCGGAGAGTGGAAGGCATTGAAGACCATCTTGGGACTTGAACTGCTCACTTTCAACCAAGGAGATTTTGGAGGCCTTGCTGCAAAGCCTACATCGTTGGCGCTCAATTTCCCGTTCCAGACTCCGGAACGACGCCTGGAGGAGCCGGTGGACTTGAGGCCTCGAGCGGAAGTGACAAGCAAGGATCTTGCCCGACGGGCTCCTGGAATGATGAGGGAAGTAGCAACTCAGGTGGTCAAGCGCATTCAGAAGAAGAGATTAGCCCTACAAGTCCTGTCACGCAGGGAACACTTGGCGCAAGGGCACATTCCCTTTCGAAGGGATTGTGGAGTATGTCAACGAGCAGCTGCCCGTCAGAGACCTCATCGAGCTCAGGGAATCCCTGAACCATGCGTTCTTGCCCTGGACCTGTCCGGACCCTGTGCAAAAGGAAAGGACATTGATGGAGATGAGAAGAAGTATATACCTCCTCTACACGATCAAGGACGTTAAGGAGCCGGTGAAGGATCAGGACGAGCTGGCACTGGTCGAGGTGACGGTGGATGAAGATCCGTTGAAGTTGAGACGAAGGATCAGGGAGAAAACCAGTGTTGCATGCTTGAAGACCTATGAAGAAGAAGAAGAAGCAGAAGAAGAAGAAGAGAAACGCAGGGTCAACCTCTTTCGGGTCCTCTACGATGAAGAGCAACACTTGCTGGGTTCAGAACCAAGAGAAGTTCCGGCATTGCAGCAGGGGCTAGCTCCATTTCGAGCCGAGCAAAAAGCAGAAGCCACAAGGCCGGTAGAGGATGAGATCTTGCAGACGCGTATCATCCCGAATGAAGAAGTCTTCATGAACAAAGCAGAATGGATTGAGGCCATCGTCAAGGAGATCAAGTCGCTGGAAGAAAAGAAAGCTATCAGGCGACTGACCCCACAAGATGTTGCCTACTACCGACGGGAACACAGCGACAAGTTGGAGGTCGTTCCTGGCAAAGCGATCCACTCCATCAAGGCCCCGGACGCTCGCAAAAAGTATCGTCTGGTAGTGTGCGGAAACTACCTGAGTGGAGCAGGTGCTGGGGGAGCCAAGCAGGATGCAGCACATGCCCTGGACGTGAAAACAGCCTTCTTGAATGCCCCTCTGTGCACTGTGGAGGAAAGCGAAAGGAAGAAGCTTCTGGCTTTGGAAGATCGAGAAGAAGGAGGGCATCAACCAATGGAACAGGACGTGGAGGAAGGTGTGGACCCAAACCGAAGGGAGCGTTTGGTCCTGATGCAACCCCCACGGATCTTGATTCGTTTGGGCTTGGTTCAAGAAGGGGAGATGTGGATGGTTGGGCACTCTATGGGTTAAGAGAAGCGCCGAAACTATGGGGAGATCACCGTGATGCTCAGCTATCGACCATGGAGTTCAAGGTAAACGATGTTCAGATTGCCTTCAACCAGAGCTTTGCGGACGAGAACCTTTGGATCTTGCGAGAAAAGGACCGCGCAGATGGGTCTTCTGGCCTAGTGCGTGGGTTGGCATTGGTCTACGTAGATGACCTATTGGTCCTTGGCGATCCTCAAGTTGTTGAAGAAGCAACGAAAAGAGTGTCTCAAACTTGGGAGACAACGGCGCCACAATGGGCGGGAGAAGATCCGTTATGCTTTTGCGGGATGGACATCTACAGAAATACCGAGGGCTTCTTCATCAACCAGAGCGGATTCCTAAGGGAGCTACTGAGGAGACACTCCATGGACGCCAGGGCATCAAATCTGGTGATGAGGACTACAGCTGAACCGGAAGATGAACCAGGAAAGACTCAGCATGAAGTTCGCGCAGCACAACAAGCAGCTGGGGAACTACTATGGCTGTCAACGAAGACAAGGCCAGACACCTCCTATGCCGTGAGTCGGATTTGCTCATCCACATCGAGAGCTCCGGTTTGGGCCTTGGAAGCATCACATCAAGATATGCGCTACCTGAACCATTGCCAAGGTGTTGGCATTTGGTACCGCAAGAAGTGTGGTTTTGGGTTGGAGTCAACCAGTGATGCTTCATTTTCGCCTGGTGGAGGGCATTCTCACGGGGCTGTGGTGAGCCAATCGCTTGGAAATCTTCCAGACAACCTTTTCCAGCACTCTCAACTGCAGAGGCAGAGTTGATTGAGGTCATAGAGTCAGTCATCCTTGGGGACAGCGTGAGTTGCTTGGTTGAGGAGATGGCTGGGAACACGCAGAAAGTCCTGAAGTGCGACAACACGGCGGCCATTGCTTTGGGAAGCTCAGCCACCGGAGCATGAAGGACACGCCGCCTGAAAGTGAGAGCAGCACATCTTCGATGGAAACTTGAGGCTGGATCCTGGGAGTTGAAGTACGAGCCCGGGAAGGACTTGGTCGCTGACATCGGCGCGAAGGTGTTAGCGCCAACTCGCACGCAGAACCTCATGCGAAATATGGAGATGGGATGGCAACCAAAGGGGGCAGACAGGCAAGAAGATGAATCAGAAGAAGATCTTCCTGTGGCAAGCCGCCTGTGGTTGGAGAACGACTTCAAGAAGGTCACACAACTGGTAACGGTCATCACGATGTTCCAGAAGATTCAAGAAAAAATTGGCCATAAAGAACGACACTATGAAAGAGTCGAAAGAAGGAGATGGGTCGGTGCTCTACATGTTTGGAGAGTGATCATGATGATCCTGGGAACGGTACTGATGAAGGTCCTTCAACGATGCCATAAACGTTGGAATCAGCAGAGGGAAGAGCCAACCATGGGGAGTATGAGGCTGGCAGGTGATTGGGCTACATCGAGTACGAGACCTTCTACAAGATCAGTTGGTGGAAGAAGTGGGAGGTCGAATACCATGCAAGAGCATCAAGACCCTGGTAGCAGCCGTGATGGAGGTGCTTCGAGAACTTCATCATCTTCTACAAGGGAGGTGGAATTCGACCTGCAGAGCAGTATGGTCCGGGAACTCAAGGAGTTCATGGGGGGCGATCATTTGGATCAAGAGGAACCGCGTGAAGAACCTCCGAATCAGACGGATCGGCCATTGGAGCAGCGCTTGCAGATTTCCTTGACGGGAAGACGAAGGAGGCTTGCTTTGGAGCCTCCATGGGAGGTTTGGTTTGCAGAGTCCAGTCATGCTTTCACCGAAGGCGAGAATGCAGGGGACTGCGGAAAGCCAACAGGATCCAAGGGCATCCGATTTGTGGGAGTTGCCAACAGACCGCACGAGGGCAGAATGGCTTGGCGGTGATGGACTTCATCTTCGAAGACCAGCTCGGTAATCACCATACTGACGCAAGGTGTAGAGCAGTCACCGGCGCAATGCTTGATATCAGGCAATGCAAGCTTTGTAAAGCGAACGGCTTGGGCTGAAGGCTCACTTTTGGAAGCTGGCTTAGCCGAAAAAGGCAAGCCAGGGAGGAGTGCAGGTCTTAAGAGAGGACAAGCACAAATCGAGAAGTGTACCAACAGCCGTTTTAGCATCGAGAAAAGATCGAGCGATCGGTCGAGCAGATATAATACGAAAGCCCGCCGATAGGCTAGGCTTGAGCTTTTGGAGCGAACAAAGTGAGTTTAGGGGGTGTGGGGGGGGAGGGTGTTGAGAGGGACATTTTGAGAGGGTGAACCCGGAGCTTGGTGGGGGAGAGCGCTCCAAACCGAGGGTCAGAAAAGCAGTGAAAATGGGGTCTGGTGATGCGAGTGATGCAATGAACGCCGAGTAGTGCATCATTAGCGTCATGAAGGGCTTTGGAGGCTATTTGGACAATGGGCATTGAGCAATCGAGTGGAGACAGGGACCCACGTACAGAGCAGACCGCAGCCGCGTGTAGGATACGAGTTCTTAGGACAACCCGTAACTTGCGAAATCCATAGAGAACCAAAAGTGACATGAGTTCAAGTGCTTGAATTTGGATTGAGTTTCGGTGGGGATGGTTGCGAGGTTGACTACATATCCGCATAGGGCTCCTTCCCCCTAGCAGAAACTATACTTGCACCATGTCCTCGGTCGAGTGGATGCTTGTCGCGGCGTCCGCACGCACCGAACGTTTCTCTGGCTTGCCGGCGCAGATTGATAGATAGATAAATTCTATATGACTATTGACTCATGACGTCGCCTTTTTGCTGGCAGTCCTGGCCGAATCCACGCACGCGGGTGCCAAAGTCAAGGCCTCTGAATGAGAAAGGTGCAGAGTTGATAAGCAAAGAGAAGAATAAAGAATGTGTTTGTGCGTCGACAGGCGCACAAATCCTCACTCCTTTGCTAGCCCAAGCTACTCACGCTGGACCTCCCCTTCTGCGCCGGCATCAAACGCCCGTGTACCCCGGCTAAGACATGCCCGTTCCCTCTTCCAAATCAAAAAATGCCGCTTTTCGACGCGCCGTAGTACGCATTACAAGCTTCAAAAACTCCAAATGTAACAAACACAGAAATGTTTCTTTTCAAACGCACGCCGTACTCGCGCGCGGTGATGCTGACTATGGAGAAGGTTTTCCTGCGCGCACGCGCGCGCGGCGCACGCGCGCACGCACGTCGTATCCCACCACTCGAACTCAGATGCGTGCCTTCCTGCGCGTGACAAACGCATGCCGTTGCCTTGTGATGATGACCTACACCAACATACAACGAATCGCATTTCTCTTTCACTACTTCTTTCATACCAAACTTATCCCAAAGCCGCCAGGCTTGCTTCTCTCCTCCCTCCATCACCATTACATACGCCCCCCCGCATCCGCGGCACCGCTGACTCGCAAGCTGCCGACCATGTGTTTTTTGTCGCGACGCCCGCCAGAAAAAGAGACACTCGTCTGGCGGCTGCTGGCTTTCGTGCCCCCCTTCTCAGGCTTATATAACTAAATAAATATGTATATATAATATATGTATATGTGCGGGTATATATATACAGTATATAACAAACTTTGATGACACATCAAGACATGCAGGTGCGATGTTCTGAGTTCTGTGGGCGACTTGCTGGCCTGGTCGGAATGTCAAAATCTTAGATTGAGAATTGAACGAAAAACACTTCCAGTCTTTCAGCCCTTTGAGTCACGTCAAAAAACACTGCAAACTCTTTGGCTGCAATCTGCTGCAGTTGTTAGGCTCTAACTCGCTGTTGTGCGCAGCAAAGTACCCAATACTTACCTTTGAAATCATGGCTCGCTCTTCGTGCAAGGTTTTGAGCGTGGTTGCTGCGCTGGTAGCTTTGTACAACTTCTGCAACAGCTGGAGTTTTGTGCCGGGGCCCTTGAGAAAACATGTGCCTGTGGCAGCTGCGTCCGCAGCCGGCATGATGATGGCTCCAGCTGCCTTTGCCGATGAGATTGGCGATGCCGCCAAGAAACTTGGTGATGCTTCCTATGACTTCGCGAAGGAGGTGGACTGGAACAA